TTTTCTACATTGGCTTTTTCTCTCTCTTGACTCCTCTAAACCTACCACCTAACTCTAATCTTTCTGTTACTGTTACATTAATTAAACTGCATTGTAACCATCAAATTAGTAAACACACTTCATAATTTATATAAGTACTAACTTTGTAGAAATTTCGAAAATATTTTCCTCCTTTGTTTTCCTTAACAAAATGTAAAGTTATTTTGAAATACCATTTTTTACCTATCTCATAAACAAACATTATTGTTTTTCAGGATTTTATCTTTGTCGTCTTTTACCTAAGCCCCTTTGGTCCTATTATTGGAACCATGTTTTAAATATTCTTCTTCCGAAATTGGTTGCCTGTACTCCATAGATTCTAACTCAACTTTAATTTAAAATTTACTATTTTTGCCCTTTAATGTACTCCTTCCTAGGATATTTATTCTCTTCGCTGCTGGTAATGGTAGCTATTTTGGCAATTCTAGAACACACATTTTCATTTCTCTCCTGCAATATTAATTCATTCTGTGGTGTCCAAAATGTGTTATGTACTCTCTAGAGGTCAGGCACAAAACATTATCATTTTATATTTGTTAATTTTATCTCCTATATTTCTAATTTTTAATTTTATGTGTTTTATCAAGTGTCATATATCATTTATAAAAATAAATAGCTAATAATTTTGGAGGTCATACTTCATAATTGGGTGAAAATTTTAAAAAAAATAAAATCACCAGTGTACAGAATCGACTGCAAACTCATTAAAAGCCTCCACAGTTCATGATGTGATGCACTAGGCACAGTGCAAGTGAGTTATATGATCACTAATCTTCACTCAGATATCTTTTATCGAATGTCCATTATAATCCAAACACTATAATAGGTGCATTACATTCAAAGTTTTCTTTGTTTATATAAAATATATTTATTCGAATCTATCTCCTTATTTTTTAAAGGAGATCGTTTAAGATAATTTGTATATTTGAATGGGAGAATATTATCTATGTTTTATTAGTGTTGAATCTATGTTGGGCTTTATTTGTTAGAGTAATCTAACTACAAAGCTAATATAAAAGTGATACAGCTCACATCATCTGAAATTACTTGTTTTTTTTCCTGTGAAATATTTTCTCAGTAGCATCACTGCCAAGTGATGTTGTGGTTGCAATTAACGCACAATGCTATGAATGACTCTATTATAGTTCCTGGATATCAAGGCACTTGGCTGAAGAACTCATAAGATGTCAATAACACATGAGATGAAAAATTATTTCTGATTTCAACTCTTGAACACATTATGAACATATATTTGTTTTCAGAATGTCATTTGACTTGCTGCATTGGATAGGATTTGAATCATGTCTTTATAAATGAAGAACTGATTCACTCATCATTATATCTACCTTTCAAGTCCAAATTACTGCTCTTTATTTAAATGTATTCATATGTAATGTTTATATTAATCTTGTTCTAATAAAATCCAAAGTATTTTGTATTCAGCATACATAGATGCAAATTGACCTCACAAAAGTTCTTTTTTGGGGTCTTCTATTTTTATTTATTTCAGTTTTCTTGAGATGGAAAAGCAATACATCAAGTCACTTTGTCTTAGAAAATATAAATGCACAATAATTAGGGACCGAGAGAATTCTGAGAATCATGGGATTAGCCACACAGTAATGTGAGTGCACATCTGCAGCTAGTCTAAAAATGTCACACAGATCTAATTCTGCTTCAATGCAAATGTAATTTATTTCTTAGTATTTCCATGTGGAAATAAATTGGTGACTGTGTTTGTTTAAACCAATTTACTACTTAATTTTTATTGTATCTTTTTTCAACTAGGCTACTGGGAAAATAATGCAGCTATGCAGGTTGATACTACTGTAAATTTGTGATTTACAGCCACAAATGTATTTCAGTATTGCCTAGTGATCCTTCTATTTTGTCTTAATTAACATTCTCACACATTTTCTTCACTGTTTATTTCAAATCTTGTTCAATCTCTTCCCTCCAAACTCATCATGTCCACCAATCACCTATTTTATAAAGAAAATAGAACATCCCACAAGATAAATTTCTTAATTTCTTGCCACCAAAGTCACAATCTTAAATTTGCAATAATTTTCTCCTTTCCTCCTACTCTGCACTGTATTCATTGCCACTTATTTTTTCTATACTGCTTTATTATCTCTCTATATATCTTTTTTTCATGATTTACAAAGGATCAAGCCTTTCACATTTTAAAACAATCTTCCAACAACTTTACATACATATTGATATATAAAAATATATGATTAATATGGTCAGATTTATAATTCCAGTCCAGCTTCTCTTCTATGCTCCTATCAGTATATACCATTTATGTCTGAATACATCTACAAAAAATTCACTCAGATAGACTTTAAATTCAATATATATGAATGAGTGATTCTGACATTCTCTCTCCCTTACCATTTTGTTTCTGCAATTATTCCTCCTGGGTTTCTTTCTCATTGATCAACAGCCTTTAAGACCATATAATTCTACCATTTAAATATTTCTGGATTTTATCACTGTTATTATATTTCTGCCACTGTATTAATCAGGTAATCACTATTATTTCACTAGATTAGTGCTACTGCCTTCTCCACATGTGTCATCTCTCCCAGTTGTACCTATTAGTACATTCCTCACTCTGCAACTAAACCTATGTCATTGAAACAAAATTTGCTCTTGTTAATCTCCTACATAAAATCTTCAAGAGTTTTCCCATTGCCCTCAGATAAATGTGAGCTCCTTTTCTGATAATACTTGCCCCCTCTTGATATACTACCTATCTAAATTAACACTTATATTTTATCATAATTTCTTTTTCCTCTACACCTAAAAGCTCTGCTCTTACTTCTGCAGTGTCCAGTGTCATGCTCATTTCAAAATATTTAGCTAGATGTTTTCTTCAGGAATTTCTCTCCTTGGGTGGGAGTGAGGGAGGCAATTTTTCTATATGATTCCATTTTATTGTCCAAGCTTATCTTTGTTTATTATTAAATATTCCTGCTACACTTTCTTATAGTTCTCTAGACTATCTTTTTGATAGCAAATTGATGATATTTCATGCCTCATAATCTGTCTGCAATAAGTTTTTGGTTCTAATTTCTCTTGGTCATTGATGAATTCCTAGTACCTAGCATATTGTCATGAACATAGATTAGGAACAAATAGATTCATTTAAAGTATTCTTTACACCTCAGTGAGATTATTAATTTAAATTCAAAAGTTATGATTGATGTATTTCAAATGAACATGATCATACAGAACTTTTAGTTCTAAGAAAGTTATAATTTAAACTTTTCCATGTGCATATTAAGCTAATATATTACTTTTATGAATTCATATATTATAGATTTATAATAACCAGAACTGAACTTGCAAAGAGGTAATTTATAACTCAAATTTAATGTCTATAATATCTAAAATGACCATTAAAATATTAGACTTACCATAAATATTTGATATTAACTACCAGTTAATTACCTAATAATGGCATAAAATCATTTATGTTAACAATATTTAGTTGATAGTTGAGGTATATTAGAATGGCTGGGATTTTGAATCTGACAAATATGGGTTTTAATTGCTGAGTAAAATTGGACAATAATAAAAAGTTACCATTTATTGAATGATGTATACATATTTAAATAGTTTAATTCAATCTTCAGTACTACTTTGTTAATTCAAAACTACTATGATAATATCTTTAAATTAATATATTTAATATATAAAAATAGAGAAAATTAATGTTCATGTGGCCAAAGAACTTAGAATGAATAACTAACAATTAAAATCTAAAGAATATATTTTTTCCATTATACTATTTATCTTTATCAGAATTTGAATTTTGTTGTGAGGCTTATAGTTTATTTGTTAATCATGTAGTATAGTGATTTGCACAGAGAAAACCCTCAATGAATGATAGTTACTTTTTAAAATTGAGTTTATAGAAAATCTCAAAATCCCTGTTTGGTTTCTTGCCTTTTCTCTGGGAGTAGTGATGCCTCCCAAGAGAATCAATCTCCTGACTCCTCCTTTTATACCAGTGATAAGTGATGAAAGAGTACATTACTACCATACTACTTCTATTTATTATATTTTCATTAAATAATTTTACATTTCCTTTTTACCCCCCATACCTTCTCCCCCCGCATGGTCTGATCATTCCTAAAGAAGTTGGGTGAAGACTCGTTCTAAGTTTAGTCATTTGTACAACTAAAATTTTCTTAGTGTTTTGTATATGTGGGACTTACCATCTTCTGGATTACTCTTAGAAGAACATGATTTATCACCAACAGATATCATAAGGTTTATGTTTATATAAAAATATTACATGAACATTATGTTTAAATCATTTTATTCTTATGTTTTTTAAAGATTTTTTTCTAAAACTAATCAGAGAGAGATATTTATATTTAAAGTTTTTTTTCTAAAACTAATCAAAGAGGGTTATTTATATCTAAAGAAAATCAAAGCCTTCCATAAAAGAAGGATATTGACTATTATTGTGTTTTAGTTATGTTGAAGCCTGATATAAAAGACTGTAGTTAGTTGCTGGTTTAATTATGAAATGATAACAAACATTTTCAGAATCTGGTAATTATATAGGGTAGGGTGCGATGCAACATATCTTAACCACGTTTTTTCCTTGTTTCACAAAGAAGGTACCTAGCTACTGGTGACACTGTCCTTATAGAAAACAGCTAAAAGTTTTTTTGTATTATTAAGTAGTTTAGGAAAAGCTTTACTAACAATGTATATTTTTCTTCTGTTTAAAGGGGCATTTAAAGCAATTGAACTCTACTGTTTTTTGATCAAAATCTAGTCATCAAATCCACTTGCACTTCAGTAAAAAGAAAAAAAAAAAAAAACATTTTCCAGGAATCCCTGAACGTGAATGAAATCTCTGCTCAGAAATTGCTAGTGATATTGAAAGCCCATTTTGAGCAATTCTTTATGACATTTACATGATAGACTGTAAAGTAATGACTAACAAATCAATTATGATTCTGAACTTGGTGGTTCTTCACAGCATGTTTATAAATGGAAAAACAACATGTAAATGGAAATTGGTGGAAGAATGGCATACACAACCCGCATCATATGTGGTGAATTGGACATTAACAGAAAACATCTGCATGGATGTCTATGGAAATTGCTGGTTTGGGGATGTAAATATTAAAATGAGTTCTTCAAGCAATCAAGCTGTTCCCCAGATTTGCCCTTTGCAAATTCAATTAGGAGACATCCTTATAATTTCTTCTGAACCATCTCTTCAATCTCCAGAAATAAATTTGATGAATGTTTCTGAAGCATTATTCCTTGACTGTCCGCAGAATTTCACAACTGAAGATCAGTTACTTTTTGGTTGCAAACTAAAAGGAATGCACACTATTAATTCTCAGTGGTTGAGTGTTGGGACACATTATTTTATCACAGTAAAGGCAAGTGGTCCATCGCTCTGTCACCTGGGACTTCGACTAAATGTGACAGTGAAAGAGCAGTTCTGCCAGGAAAATCTGAGTTCCCAATTTTGTTCTGGGCATGGTAAATGTCTTACTGAAGTTTGGAGCAAGACATACAACTGCCACTGTGAGCCTCCATTTTCTGGAAAATACTGCCAGGAACTTGATGTATGTTCTTATAAACCATGTCAAAATAACAGCAGTTGCATTAATAAAAGAGAAATATGGAATAAGCAAGGATATGAATGCATCTGTCACCCACCATTTACAGGTAAAATTACTTTAAAAATACCATAGTTCTATTAAATTGGAAATAAGAACAATTCATAAACTCCTACTTACCAAAAAATAAGGTACACTGTTTAAAATTTTGTAGGTCTTTTAGACTGAGCTCAATTCGGATTCTGTATATATTAAAATCCAATCAGTAATTCTCTAAAATAAGTATTTTGCTTATTTAAAGAGGATTTTTTAAACATGTTTTATCCTGAAATAACTAGTTCTACATCTTTCCTAAAATTGATTCTTACTGTGTCATTAAAAATTAATATTATCAGAATAATATGTTTTAGTCATTAAGTGAAATTCCCAAGCTTATGATATTTGAGATAAACGGTTCTGGGTGATAATGTGGATATGAAGTATGGATCTGAGTTGAGGAAGGGAAGGAGCTATGTGGTTAGAGGGGAAGCCATTGAAGTTACTTGGGAGAGTTGGAGAAGAAAAGATAATAGTGAGCCAAAGCAATGTCCTTAATGGATGTTGGTGTGGCACCTATAAAGCGATTGATAGATAATAGTGATAAGAAACAAAAGAGCATGATATAATCAATAACTAGTTATAATAATTTAGATGCGAGGCAATGATGAGAAAAGTTTATAAAAGGAAGATATTTGGTGAGTAGATGAAGATAGGGCAATCTAAAAACGATATAAACTATACTACTGATGCCAAAGTGAGAATTTGAGAGAAAATAAACTATCTTTATTCGAAAGTTTACTATGAAAGAGGGCTTGTTTGTTTGTTTGTTTGTTTTTATATAAGAATTTTAGAGACCTGGCATGGAGAATTACAAAGATAATGGGTGAGACAAGGATGATCTAACAAAGTGAAATACTTAGTGTGGTTGGCAGTGATAGCATGAGAAAACAAATAACAAATCAGTAGTGTATTTTGGTCCAGAGAGAGGAAGGAGAATGAGCAATAGATATGACTAGAGCAAATCGGACTCAGAGATGTAACTAATTTTATTGGGTAGGCTTTAGGGGTTTTTTCTTCCATGGAGCCAAGTTTGAGGAGCCTGTGCAATCAAATATAATGGAAGACTTTAATAAGCCACTGTAGGTTCTAAAATCCACCTAAGCCAATCTCTCAAAGAGTGATTTTAGACACTAGAGTGTGGAAGTGCCAAGCCCATTTCAGAAGTTAATCTGAGCAATATCCACTGAACATCATGTCTCTATAACTGGGATTAAATTCCGATTTGACTCTACTGGTGTCTTGATAAAAGATCTGTTAGCCTACTCATCCTGGGGTATATCAGTTCATTAAAATTAAGATAGTTTATAAAAAAAGTGAAAGCACTCAAATTGCTGATTTGGGATGACTAAAAAGCAATTTAACTGAGAGCCTCTAAAGCATACATTTTAACAGGTCCAAAGAATTTTAAAGAATATTTGGTCAGAAAGTTTCTACCATCTATTAGAATACAAATTGGTATATATGTAATTATATATCATAGAATGGTTTCAATGTTTTTTTTTCATAGCTGCGTAGTGTTTTTTCTTAGCCAATGTTTGCTGCTTATTTATTAGAAACATAATCATATATCATTTAAATAATTAAATTTTAAACACCATGAAAGTACTTAATATTATTTATTTTTTAAAACATTGAGAATATACCATTATGCCACTTTAATTATAAATAAATTACTTAATTTTAAATTTTAGAAGATACATGTAGCATATGTAGAATAATTAAAGAAATTGGAATTGTTCACTGTATTAGTTTGCTAGCACTACCATAACAAAGTACTGCAATTTAAGTGGCTTCAACAACAGAAGTTTATTTTCTGAGTTATAGAGGCAAAATATTCAAGATCAAAGTGTTGGCAGGTTTGGTTTCTACTGAAGTTTCTCTCCTTGGTCAGTAGACAGCCATCTCTCTGTGTCTTCACATTGTCTTCCCTCTATATGTGTCCACTCCTTCAAAACTTTTTTTATAAGGACATCTGTTATATTTGCTTAGTACTCACCCTAATGACCTTATTTGACCTCTATTATCTTTCTGAAGACTACATCTCCAAAAATAGTCACACTGTGAATCCTTGGGTGTTAGAATTTCAACATATAAATTTGGGTGGGGGGGGGCTGGTGGTCACAATTTAGCTCAGTACACTCACTAAAATTGTAATAGGACATGACCTATTAAACTGTTAATTTAGTTTTTATGTGGAAATATTTATACAATTATAAGTAATTATATTTTCATTGTATTGGAGGTTGTTTAGAGGTAAAAGAAGGAAAAAGAGTTCCACATTAATGAGGGAGGAATGTCAATTTATAAGGAATTTGAAAGGCAAAAACTGCTTACAAATAAAATTAAGAATTTGATTAGAATAGGGGGAGGCCTTTTGCCAAATTATATGCAACTGTTTTGTAGTAACATTTGTCTACTTGCCAAGTCCTAAAATTTTCTAGGCACATTCTTCTATAGGGATATTATGAGATAACTAACTGCATAAAAAATATGCTATACAAGTTTGTGGTATGTGATATAGTAGGACCACAATAGTTTATGTAAGTGGGATTTGGAAAACTTGATATAACAGCAAGGGCAAGAAAGTGTAGAATTTAGAAGTTTTTGCATAGCTTCTGAGAATCCAAGCAGCCTTTCCTATTTTCTGCCCTATAATTTCATATTTTATTTTATTTTTTATTTTACTGTAAAAAAACATTTAATCTGAGAGCTACTTTCTTAAATTTTTAAGTGTACAATATATTATTGTTGACAATAGGTACAATATTCTACAATTCTTAAGAGCATATCCATCTTGCTTAACTAAAACTTTATGCCCTCGTTCCTTTTCTGATGATGAAATTTTGCATTTTCCACTTTTGAATCATTTCCTTGACTGTATGGTAGGGCCAAGACACAATATATGTTTGAATGTGTCAATTCAAATTTTGTAAATTATCACTTCATTACTACCAGTGTACATCGAAGAACTGGTACTTACACATATTAATATTATCTACTAGCAAGACATGATGAACACGTGCAAATTATTATAAAAAATAACTAAAGCTTAAATATCAACAATCAGAAAGATATTATTTGAATATTAAAGTATGGGGTCAAAAGATAGAAAAACTGATGTAAAATTTATTGAAATTGTTTCAATTTAAATACAT